CGAGTGTTTTGGTTTGCTGCATGCATTTGGTCTGTTCGATACAGTCCTGACCCCTCGCTCGAGGTCACAGGGTTAACGTCGACTCCGGTTATGAATTATGTCGGTAACTTACCGGGTCTTTCCTCTCCGGTCACTTAAATCAACTTTTATCAATGTTGGACACTGACAGGAATTCCACTGGGATTATTTTGTCTGGGAAAAAAAATAGAAATAACAAGTCGAGACTTTGAGGTGTCAGCAGTCTGTCTTGTGTGCTGCCGTAGCATAATTGAAATAGTTAAGAAGTTAAAATGGTACATTTATTATAAATAAAATTACTTTTTTTTCTAATAACATACACGTAGGCCTATTTTATTTAGGCTATTGATATTTTAATTATTTATCAGTGAGTAAATAATGCATTTATAAATAAATGTATTTATAATTGTTATCTATAACAAAATAACATGTATTATTATTATTAATTTTATTATAATAAATGAATGTATTATTATAATATATATATATATATATATATATATATAGGCCTATATAACATATTTTTATGGTAATACATTTATTTACTAATATTTTTTGTCGTTGTTTTTATCAATAAGTAAATAATACATTTATAAATAATCGTATTTCAATTGTTATCTATAACAAAAAAACAAAAACATTTATTATTTGTAATAATTATTCATTAGCCTACTCATTAGCCTACTTATTTACTGAAAAATCAACACATTTATTGATTTATCATATAATACATTTAAAATGAAGCTATTTAAATTCTATGGCAAAGCAACACATTTATTATTTTGAGCATTTGTTACTTTATTTTTTTAAAGAAATGCATTGATTTATTGGTTAAATCTATTTATAAAGTTTATTATGACAAAATAAAGTATTTATCATTTAGAATAATTATTTATTACTTTATTATTATAAGAAATAAATGTATTTATATCAGTAAGTAAATAATAAACGTATTAACATTTATACATTTTATCTATATGACAAAATAACACATTTATTATTATTATTTAATAATTATATATTTATTTAGCTTCATAATAAATAAATGTCATATTTATCAATAAATAATAAATGAATAAATAAATGTATTTCATTAAAAAAATGTCTGTTTTAAAATAAATCAGTTAAAATAAATCAGTTTCAGTTAATAATAACTGTATAAATAAATCGATTTTATTTTTAAAAATGTCTATTTTAAAATAAATGAATAAATGCATTGGTTTTTCAGTAAATAATAAATGTATAAATCAATGCATTTAAAAATGTCATTTACAACAAAATAACACATTTATTATTTGTAATACATACATATAGCATTATCTTTTTATGATATAGATTTATTTACTTTTATTTGACATGGTTTTTATATTTTTCTTCTTTTTTTGCTCAGTTGTCCTGCCATGTAACACCATAAATCTTAGGTATAGTCAAAAAAAAAAAAAAAAAAAAAACTTGTACACCACTATTATACATAATAGGCCTACAATATTTTTTTCCAGATTTGTTTAAACTTCTGATACAACTTTCATCAATTGTGAATGCATCAAAATGCCTCTGCATATGGAGCAGAATATTGTTTAAACTATCCTAAAATCAGACGGAGGCACCCCCGAGTCTGATGTGGATCGTGCTCTGAAGCCCTTCTGTTTTTCATTGAGGCTCGTATCTCAGTTCCAGCACTTTCATTATGTCTGTGGGTTGGAGACATGTGGCTCGTGCAGGCAGTGCGCTCATGATTAGAGACCATCTTGGGTGATGAGTTTTGTGGGCTCATCGGGGGTTAAGATTAATCCTTGAATTGCTACGGTGGGACAGAACGAGTAACCAAACAGAATAGTAGTACACTAAAAAAGTCAGAAATATTTAATGTATAACACAGTGAAGGTAACAAACAGCTTGGGTTGAACAAACCAGACCATTTTTGCTTTAGCAAGCTGTACTTCCCTCTACTTTTTAACTGTAGTCTCACTAAAATTAAAACCGACAGTTTCAAATGGGAATTTCCATTTCGATGCTCTAGACAATATGACTGTGTAGATTGCATAATTTAGTAATAACCGTAGCCCTCCCACGCTGCCTTCAGATCTTTGAAGCATTTAATTGAATTGAAAATTAATATACCACAAACTGTACTAGCCAAAAGGTAACTTGTGTATTAAATCTTAAAGATAAGACAAGTGCAATATAGGACTAAGAATTACATCGGTCAGATCCTAGATAACATACTTTACATTCTCATCAGAACCATATGTGACATCATTCCAGTGTCACACACACAGAGAATCCACCCTGCTCGCCACGGCAACAGTAATTTATGATAGCGTCTAATTAAGTCTGAGGTTTTGTGAATATTGGCTCTTGGGAGAGTTTAGTGCATAGAAATAAACTTAAATAAACAAAACTAAAATAAAGCATTGCAAATTATGTAATTGATATATATATATATATATATATATATACACACACATAGAGATAAATGTTTGACTAGCATCTAATTAAGGAGTAGTCTGAGGCTTTGTATTATATTTTAAATACATGAATTGTAATTCTTCATGGAATTGGAAAATGAGTTGGCCTACATTTGCCATGGCAACAGTGAAATTTTTCGTTTTCTATCATGCAGTGATCATGTATTTGTCTACGTGCCATTAGGTTTTAGTTTATAGTGTACTTAATCTGTATATCTAATATATTTGATCACAAAGCTGTGTCCAATGTCCAACGTTCCGCCTGAAGTGATCGCTTGCGCATGTACGTCACTCATTGTTTACACAGAGATTTCATAAGTTTTACCTTTCACTAAACATATTTAGATATCAAAATCGTCTTCCATTGCGATTTCCTGTATATTCAAATATGTGTATCTTCACAGAAAGGTAAAACTTCCGTAATCTCTGTGTAAACGATGAGTGATGCACACGTGCAAGCGATCACTTACTTTAGACTAAACCACTCAATTCATATGGATTAGTTTGACAATCTCTTTATGAACTTTTTGAAGTATCAAAGTGGTAATTGCGTAGACTGTCAACGGAGGGACAGAAAGCTCTTAGATTTCATTATAAAAAATAAAAAACTTTTTTTTTTTTTTTGTATTCCGAAGAGATGAACGAGAGGCTCTCGGGTTTGTAGACATGAGGGTGAGTAATGACAGAATTGTCATTTTTGGGTGAAATATCCCTTTAATTACAAGGTACAGGCCACTCGTGCACGTGTGCTCTGAACACACACAGGATGAACTAACATAAAACATGGAAAACCACATCACCTTGTTAATTACAACCTCATAAACTGACTATCAAAGCTGCACCACAGGGGATAATCACAGATCATGACGTGTCCAGCAGCATCAAACAAATATGTCATATCTAACACGAATGGGAGTTATTTTGCAATGTGGCAGATTATTTAGCCATTAAACAGCAATAAGTGTTTACAGTGCTGAGTAGACATGTAAGAAATATTTGACTCTGACTGTGTATCTAAATAATACTCAAAATGTCGACTAGTGGGTTAAACAATAATTATGCATAATGAGAGGTTCTTTCGAAGGTCTGTGTGTCATCTCAGAAAACTTGACTTTTAATTTTGCCTACCTGCTAGCAATGCCAAGGTCAAGGATTCGATTCATAACGCACACCGGGGGGAAAATGTTTAGATTAAACACACTTAAGTTGCTCTGGATAAAGGTTATGATTATTTGTGGCATATATATATATATATATACACCTTAATAATTAACATGTCCCAAGCTTTTGAAGACACTTTTGAAGACGATGCGTGATATCGTGATTCGAGTTTTTTTTTTAGTTCAGCCACTAAAAACCATACAACAGCGCCTTCTGCTGGAATTATAGTCTTGCAACATGTCGAGCACAAGCATCTGTATTCATCAACATTTGTTTTTTGTGTCATTAAACTTAGATTGTACATCAAATTAACAAAACAGTAATGAAATTAAATAAAGGCAACAACGATACTGTAACATTTGCCAGGTTAGACGCCATTTTGAATTTAACGCAAAAGAAAACGAGGCTGTGAGAGACCGTGAGAGACAGACCTGCTGTCTTTACAATGGCACGCACTGTATAAAGGTCCTAAATCACGTAATTTTCACAACTTTTAAAACTGTTTGCGGAGGATTTTTTTTTCCAGAGAGACTTTTTACCAGCTGAACATTAGGATTGTTGTTAAACAACAGTACAATAATCCACTAAACACACCATTCTGTACCCCACAGCCTCGCTTTCATTCCTTTCAAAAAATTAAATGTGATGTTCCCTGACTAAAGTCTACACCCCTGTTTCACAGACAAGGCTTACTAATCCCACACCATGTTTAAGCTGTTTTAACTGAAAACAACTGGTCTTGAAATAGATGCATACTGGAATGTACCATTATTTTACAAGGGTTTTGGTGAGGGTAATAGGGCTGACAGGAAATCAGGGGACACTGATAAAATGATATATATTTTATACAAAAAAAAAAAAATGTATACTTATGCCAAAATATTGCTTGACAATGAGACTATTAGTATTATCACTAAGTATATACTTAGTATATTATGCAAATGTGATTTTTGTATCATTTTGCAAATTAAAAGTCCTGCTGAAAAAAAAAACAATCGTAGTGAGGGACAGGCCAATTCCCTTACCAAAATAAATGCATAGTATTATGTTTTTAAATCATAAATGTATATTTTGTTATATTAATTCTATGTCTGATTATATCTTAGGAGCACAAAAGGCAACAAATTCATGGAATGACTCAGGCATGTTTATAAAAGCTAAACTAAGGAATATTCTAAAATGTCTGTTTAACCAGGCCACAGTGAATAATACACAAGCTTAGTTGCACTTAGTCGGCACAAAAATCTTCTTTTTACAGGCAAATTTGACTTGAACTCAGAATGTATTGTTTGATGCAATTTAGATACATGAAATATTATTATTAAATGGAAAAAAATATTGTTTTAGTCTTCATGAAACTAATAACTAGTCTTTATTTGAAATGATTACATAGCTTCTGGTTTCTGTATGGAACTCTGATTTGCCAATCATAGACATTTAATGAACACAGAATGAATATATCATGAGAAAAAAATATCATCCACAAGTTTGAATAATAAATAAAAAGATAAAGCTGTCCATATGCAACATAAAACAAGTATTAATGTGAAACCCAATGGTCTCAGCTAAGTCATTCTTAAACCAGTAACTATTACAGCATGCAAATAATACAAAATAACATCCTGTACTTATATGGCAAGGTAAAGAGGTTTTTTAATAGTTTAACCAAAAGTTAATGATCACTGCAGGCAGACAAGTTGACCTTACTGAGAAATTGCAGGACAATTAAACTTTTGAACATACAGTGGCCTGAAAATAGAAATTAAAAAGAAAAATATATCACAGAGTATAACAGCTACATGTTAAAATCACTCTGTATCTTTTTTTCAGTACTCATTGTTAGAAAATTAGTATCATAGCAGGTGTTTTTGCACTGAAAGCATCCAGCTGAAAAGCCATTGACATTTATTTAGTCCAGCTGACTTTGGGAATGTCATAATGCTCTGTCAGTGAATCCAGGTGTCGGTTGAAATCCTGTAACAAAGAAACATTCACAAATTAAAACACACAAACATAGGCTACACAGACACAATATAACATACAAACATCATTGACCGTACCTCAACTCTTCTCTTATGTGTTTTGGAGGCCTTCTTCAAAATTCTTTCCATTTGCTAATAACAAAAATGACAAAGAAAGAATTAATATCACTTTCTAATCAATTAGCATGTCAGAGCAATTTCATTCGTAGAAACTGACAATTTATTACTTAGGATTCAAAACAATCAAAGAGAATACACTTGTTATTTGTATACGGCACTAAAACAATATATGACAAATATAAAATGTTATTAATACCCTTTTTTCTTGTATTTTGTCGAATGATATCTGTGCTGGCGTCCTTTTATCAACATAAACTTTCTTAGTTCCGTTTTCATTTTGACTGGTCATAGCCTGCTCCTCTAATGTCATAGCCTGCTCCTCTAATGTCATAGCCTGCTCCTCCAAACGCTTCCTTTCCTTGTCCTTCTTCTTTTTCCTATAGAAAAAAACCCAAAAGAAGTAAAACTGCAAACATAATAACACTTATAACATCAAAACAGACCTAGCATAACAGCTAACGCCTGTCGTGACAGGAAACGCCATTTCCCCACAAAAAAAAAAAACAGCTAAAATGTTTTAATATATAGAAAAGCATGAAAATAAACAAATACATACTTTTTACTTGCTAAAGAGACTCCTTTCAGCTTTAAAGACCCTTTGGAGACAGATTTGTACTCCGACATGTTGGCTTCAGGTTGGCTTGCTGTCTAAACAACAGACGGTCGGTAACTTATCCTCGGTCTTACTGCCCTCTACAGGACAGGAGTGAAAAGCTATAGATTAATCGTCCGTTTTTACTTTGTATTTCTTTTATATTTTGCACCTTCGTGGTTTGTTCTGTTCCACTGAATGTTAGTTGTTAGTATTTTTTTTTAAAGAAACAGAAGTTTCTAGACTAGACCGAACGCAAAACGCGCATGCGTGTCACCCGGAAGTACGTCTCACGTACACTTCAGACAGCATGGTGGAAGGTCCGATGAGACACTATGGCACATATTGTACTACATTCTATGAAGAGGGTAAACTTGTCTGTTCTGAATGCTTATAACGAGCATTTTGTTAACACCCTTTTTATTCAATACCGTGGTTATGCTAAAAAACCAGGTAAGGTTTATTTTGAACCTATTACATATGTCTTGTGACCTTGGAGGACCAATTTTCAAAACATTTGTTTTTATACAGGCCTCAACATTATTATATAATATTTTGTTTATATTGGTTTGCATTCATTTTTTAAATATATTTTCTTAATTAAATATTATTTTGTTTCTCGTAGTAATTAAAGGAAAAGGTAAAGGAATAGTAAAGGAAGTTCTTAAGGGTCCAGAAGTGTGCAAGGATCCAGTGAGACTTTGCACGCATGCAGTTGGAGTCAACATCTTGAAACAGGGCGAAGACCCTCTTATTAAACCCAAGGAGGACTATCCAGAATGGTATGATGTGTTGTATTTTACTTTGTGCTTCATACTGCATTTATTGCATCTCAGATTATCTAGCCAAATAACATGTTTGTAACTCAAGTTGTGTTTGTTGTCCCATGTCTTCAGGCTGTTTCAGTTGAACCTCGGCCCACGCAAAAAACTCCATGAACTGGAACCAGACAGTTGGGAATACTGTAAACTTTTAAGGAAGGAGCATATTTGGAGACATAATAAACTGCATAAAGGCAAAAAGATGTAGAGGGAATGGACAGGATGGTTATATGAATCGTGCTTCTTTGGGAGCAAGGCCTGGGTGAACCTTTGCTTTCCCAGCAGGCACAGTGGACATTCCCAATTTTGCTGGTGTGTTAGCTTTCCTGTTTCTGAGGATGAAGTGGTTGTATTTTTGCTCATTTTGTTGTCATTCTTTTTATTAATATTATTGTTGTTTTGTTATTGGTCTCATTTCCGTCACATGAACAAATAAAATTCTGATGCCATCATCAATGTGCAATGTCAAAAAGTGTCTTTTCAAAACAAAAACAAAAAAAGTTGTGGAATTGTGGAAATATTTATCTATAAAAAAATAATTTCTATAATATATTTTCTAGCTATGGTCTGCATCTGACTGTCTATTGAGCATCTGTCTATCTATCATCTGTCTGTTTGTCTACCTGTCTGTATCTATCTAGCTAGCTAGCTATCTATCGATTATTCGTCTGTATCGATCATCTGTCTTTCTATTATCCGTCTGTATGTCTATTTCTATATCTGCCTGTCTGTCTGTCTATTTGTCTCTATTTATCATCTGTCTGTATTCGCCTGTATCTGTCTGTCTATCTATTTTTCATCCATCAATCATCTTTCTGTCTTATCTATCATCCATCTGTCTGTTCGTCTGTGTGTCCATCTGCCTATATCTGCAGTTGTCTATCTCTAATAATTATAAAGTATCTAACTATCTATTTAATTATAATCTATCTAATTATTATTATTTAGCTATCTGTCTATCTTTCTAGGTTATGTGAGGGTTGCACCTCTTCTTCAGCAGGAGTGACTCATGATGAATTGCTGCTATAGGTTGAGAGAAGGTGAAAGTAAAAATCTCTTGCTGCGCGTGGTGGGGGTGTACATGCAAATACATGTTAGAAAGAGGAACTACTAACTGAAAAAGACTGAACTGCTGTGCGGATGTTTACCATTCTGATTTGCGGATTCTGACAAGTATTAGTCGTAGAAAATCAGATTGAAAGTGAGTTAAACGGACATTAAGAGATCGATTGACTTTTTATTGTTAAGAGTGAATTCAGTGAGATCTTTAATTATCACTAACGTTAGTGCCTCGGTCACTTTACAATCTGCGTTTTACGAACCCGGGATAAACTCACTTCCGGGAGTCTACCGTTTAACAGGTGAAAATACTTTTGTTTGCCTGCTAAGGTTAAGTTTAAGAGCTTTTAATTTTTACATATTTCGTTTTCAAATGCAATAAATTTTACTAAAAGCTAGGCTAATCTGAGCTTTGCTGATCGTGCATTGGATTAAGATATAATACCCTTTTTTTAATTAATTGCCTTTACGATTGGTTATTTAACTTATTTCTTGGCTCATTATTGCCAACTGTGTCGTAAAATTAATAACATATTCGGTTCCGCATTTTCTTGCTATGTTGATTGTTTTTCAATGTTTTATTAACTTATAGGAACAACGTTTATAAAATATGTATTGAGATTTCTTCTATTTGAGATTACGGTGTTAGTATGATTTTTCTGAAAAATGATATGCTTATATTTGGAACCATGACAAAAAGGATTTCAGAGCTGATAAAAAAGAGAAGTTCACAAATACAACACGTGTGCAGTATTACAGAAATGTACTTTTGTATTCATGTTGATTTAATACATTTTTGAAAAATGTTTAGTATTGTCAACAAAATAAGTAAAAAAACAAACAAACTTAAATAAGTTGTTAGTTTACTCAACTCAAAATAAAATATTATGCATAATACAGTAGGCCCATAAGTTTTTTTTTTTTTTCAAGAATTGCAGTCTTTAAATGAGAATTTTTCTTTTTGGACAGTTACACCTTGTACATGAAATCCTGGTGATAAATTTAAATAAACCTCTTCTCATTTATTTCTCAGATAATCATTGATCATTGAAATTATGGAGGACAAGAATTTGGGTGTAGAAAACCTGAGTGAGACAGAGCTAAACAGACTTGGTTACATGCTAGACAATCTAGAGTGTGGTTGGAAACAGCTGGCAAAGGCAGTGGCTGAGCAGCCACAATTCTGCTATAGGTAAGTTTTTCCCAAACTGTGTGGAATAACAAGCCGATATTGTGCATGGCTATGACCGATTCACAATTACAGAATCTCCTTCTTTGCAGTGACAAAGAGCTGACTGACTGTTCAATCAAAGTACTAAGTCCACATGGGAGTCCTGGCCGATACCTGCTTGCCCTCCTCGCAGATAAACGGTGTTCTTTGGCTTTCCTGCTTCAATGCCTGAAGAAAATTGAGCACAGAGAGGCTGTTGGATTTCTTACCTCACATGGTAGCTAAATATACATAGGGAAACATCTCTAATCTAATCTAATTTTAGGTCGTAACCCAAAGGGATGGGTCATATCACCCAGGTGTTATTTGTGTTTTTGGGTAGTGATGGAGCATATTAACATCACACTGCAGCCACAGAGTCAGCGGGTACCAGAGGGAAGTACCGTGGTTCTGAGCTGCAGAGCAGTTGGACCTGCGGAGCTCACCTACCAGTGGTTCAGGGGCAAAGATGAGGTCTGCTGCACTACATTCTGTAACTAAAGCCGCTTTTCTACCGCAGGAACTTTCCCTAGGAACTTTGGGGTGGTACTCGGTGTGTTTACACCGCAGGACTCAGGACCCCCCCCCAAGGTAGTACTTTTTCAGAGTTCAGGAACTTTCGGGGTGGGACTGCTGAACATGCTGATTGGTTCTTACCAATCTTGTTCTTTCTGCCCAATGGCACACACTCGCCCCATCCATCTCACGGTCAATGTCCGCTATAGCTGATAACAAACGTTGTGTACTTTTATATCTAGCATTACGAGCTTTCTGAATACGCTTTGGTATTAGTGCTCGTCTCTTTCCTGCCGTTTTGTTAATTACCTTATTAGTAAACCAATAGATCGCGCACAAAAGCAGCACAGCTTGAATCTCCTACATACCTAAAACTCAAAATGCGCAGACTGGGAGGAGCAGTCGCACGCAGTTCAACGTCACCTGACTAATTTACATAATCATCCCGGTACTTTAGTCCGCGTTGTAAACGCAGTAAGCAACCGGTCTGGGGCAAAAAAAAAGTCCCTATGAAAAAAGTTCCTGGGACAAATAGTTCCTCATAATTGCAGTGGAAACGCGGCTTAAGCCTACTGATTTGAAAAGTGATCTTTAGTCTGATTATTTATGTTCTCGGTAGATGCCAGGAGGCAGTGGCCCAGAGCTGGTCCTGAATCCTGTAAGTCCATCTCAACAGGGCCATTACATCTGCCGTGTAAGTTCTGGGGACAAGTACGTCTTCTCCAACTGGGTCCATGTACGTCTACTGAGGTCTGGAGGCTCAAGTGCAGGTATGTGAATATTTTACCTTAAAACTTACTTCAGACTTGAAGGAATCAAACTTCCATCAACACTAATACATTGTGTCATCTGCAGGTGCCAGCGGTAGCTACTTCCCTTCTTCAACCAGTGGGTTGTATATTACTCAGCAACCCAGGCCTCAAGTGTTGATTGAGGGAGACACTCTCTATCTCGAATGTATTGCTCAGGCCAACCCACCTCCACAGTTCCAATGGTTCCTTAACAAACTTCCAATGCCAAAGTGTACTAGAAGCTTCTTGAAGGTATACTCATTAAGTTGAGTTTTAAGTATCACAGTTGAATGTGTTTATTAGAAAATGCTTATGTCAAAGTTTGGTGTACAGTGTACTTAATTGGGCATCTACATGGTCTTGTCCACAGATTCCATGCATTACCACAGCGGACAGAGGTACATATACTTGCAGGGTTTACAACCTCTATCATGAAATGTGGAGCGATCAGGTCGAAGTAAACATAGGTAAGGAGCTTAAGACAACACGACCCATAATCATTCCCCTAAATATAAATGAAATAAATCGACCTAAGATTTTTCTTCATAGCATGGCCTATTTTCACTCAGGTCCTGGTTCTTCTTCTGATGTCTCATGGGAAACAACTGAAGTGGGTAAGAATGATCTGTATAATTGTTTGAAAAAGCACTTGTACGGATGCTTTCTTGTCACTCACATGCACCTTATGTTTTATAGGTACTTCTGATGCGGGTCCTAGGCAAATGGGTGATTGTTGCGGTAGGTGATGAGGAAATTGCTCTTGGTATTTCTTGTATTCATTGGTTCTGCTATTTCAATCTTGTCACTTCCCAAATCTATAGCCACTGACAAGGTAGCACTTCTAATGGGGAATATGAACTACCTGCATCACCGGCAGCTGAGAGCTCCCATGGCAGATGTGCATGAGTTGACAAACCTTCTACGCCAGTTGGACTTTAAGGTCGTCTCTCTACTGGACCTCAACTGGCAGGAGATGCATAGTGCTGTTACTGAGTTCCTGCTACTGTTGGATCGAGGCGTTTATGGTTAGTTCCTTGTTGCATCAGTTTGATTTCTGCAGCAATAGAATGTTACACCAATCCTGATAGTTTATTTATTGAATATGTTTGGATCATCTAATCTCTCTTTTCCATGTCTGCCATTTCAAGGGCTGTTGTACTTTGCTGGTCATGGCTATGAGAACTATGGAAACAGTTTCATGGTACCCATCGATGCTCCAGCCTCTTATACCTTCAAGCACTGTCTCTGGGTGCAGGACGTCTTGCAGCGCATGCAAGAGCGCCAGACGGGACTTAACGTCTTTCTTTTGGACATGTGTCGGAAACGGTGTGGTTTGATTCATAGGTTCTGAATTATTGTACTTCAAATTTTACTCGAACCTGACTGCAGTTGTGATGTTCATACAGAAACCCAAACGATGAGAGCATCCCACAACCTGGCCCCTTGAGAGTGACCGCAAACATAGTGTTTGGCTATGCAACGTGAGTCTAATGCAGTGACAAGTCATTTTATTGATATCTAGAAATTGTGATTGCAATCTTCACATTCTGGATCTAGGTGTGTTGATGCCGAAGCATTTGAAGTAAATAAAGACGATCTCTCTAATGGAATCTTCATGAGCTTTCTTAAGAAGAGACTGATGGAGCCAGAGAAGGTCACGGTCCTACTTGACAAAGTAGCAGAAGGTTTGTGGTTAAAGTTGTTCCCTAGTAATCCACAATTCACTGTTGGTACCAGTGTTTTGTTTGAATTACTTTTCAGACAAGAAAATGTTACAAAATGTCCAAATAATTTTAAGCCACATATACGTCATAAACTTCTCTCAAATTGATATTGTGGGTCATTTTTGGAAATGTTCGCATTTGAACTGCTCTGGATTGCCTTTACCAAAATCATGGTGAGCCCAAGCTGATCGTGAAGACCATTACCACCAGTGTTCTCTACGATCATTTTGGCTGTCAATGCTTTTGGGAAACGCAGCCCTGGCTAGCAGATATAATTAGATAAAATTCTTGAACGGCAAGTGTGACTGCACAGTTTTACAGAGTTTATTTCCATTGCAGACATGGGAAGGTGCAAAATCACTCGTGGCCGGCAGGCTCTGGAACTTCGCAGTAATCTCTCTGAGCGTCGTGCCCTGACGGACAGCATTCAAGCTCCAACGTGCCAAGTCACAGCGTCAACAAGAAACTTACAGTGGGCCATCGCGCATGGTGGGACCTGTTCATAATAAAAACCCTTTAGTTTATATCCTTATGCAAAGTACAATGGCTGTAGATAAAATGCAGAAAATATTGAAACATAATGATTTTGTGTAAATGGTTCCAGTCATCCCACAGAGCCGCTGTCTTCAGTTTGAATGTGGTGTCAAGGTACAGCTTGGTTTCGCTGCAGAGTTCTCCAATATCATGATAATCTACACTCGGATATTGGAGACTCCTAAAGACATTTTGTCATGCTCTGCTCAGCTCTCTGACTTTACAGAGGTAAACTGACATTCTTGTAGATCTGCAAATAATTTATTGAGTTAGTCATGAGAAAATAACATAAAGATGTATCATTAATTGATTTCCTGTGAATAAGATTCATTACCTTTTCATGGCCCACTTCAACTTGTGTATCTTTGGTAGATTGACGACAAAATAGCCCAAGACGCATTGTTTTGTATTCAGTTTTTACTGATTTCATTTCAGGGGCCTGAAATAGACCTGAAGCACAGCAATCAGGAGAGTCTCCGTGAGGCTGGCAGCTTACTACTGAACCTAGATGATCTACTGCCTTTGGAAGAACCTCGGCTCTTTACTCGTATTAGTGCCCTTCAAAGGCTGAAGGTATAGTGTCTAATGTTTATACAATATGTGCAATATATATCCAATGTATTTCTTATATGGAATGCATATTATAACTGCTTTCCCCCTCACAGAAAGAGCTCTCGTTTACTGTGTGTCTACACTACAAGTATGCTAATCTAGATGAAGAGGTCATGGAAGAGCAAAGGGTGACAGTAGGCAAACCTCTAGTGTCAAAACTCAACCTCCACGAGCCACGACTCTCTCCCGCTTCCTCCTCTGAACTGCAAATGTCCAGTATAATGGAGTCTTCATCCTTCACTGAAAGCTTCAGAGCTAACCTGTCTGACTCAAACCTTTCCTACATTGGATCTCCATCTACATCCTGGTCCTACTGTCAGGGACCCAGGGAATCACCCACATACACTGGTTTAAAGAATGAACCTGAGGAAACCTCTGAGTCTGAAGAACCTCCCGCCATCAAAAGTTTGCCTAGCGCTTCTTCCGAGGAACTCCCATTTAAATTTAGCAACTTACCAAATTCCATTTAGCAGTAAAGTGTTCAGTGCTATGCGTCGGATGCATTACAAACTGTTACAGTTTGTGTATATAATATGTATACAATATGTCACAGTGTAAATTTTCCACTCTACTCATATGTTACAGAAGAATGTAATATAATATAATTGAGAAAGTTGATGTACACTTACAGCTTACAGTATTGTTTCGTTGGTAAATCTACCAGTGCATTAAATTATCTTATTTTGGATTTGTTTGGTTTTTCCATTAAAGTACACCACAAATGATTCTGTCAGTGGAAATTATTGTTTTGTATCTATCACTTAAATTTCGACATGCTAAAAATCATCTAAGAATAAATTACAAATTACTAATAGAATGTTTTTTTTACCCACTAAAAGTGCAAGTACCTTATATTTTTTGTATAAAAGGCTAAATATTATATTACGTGCCCGCACTCCTGTCATAGTGTACGCAGAGCCATGGCTCTGAGTGTACGTAAACAATATATTGCATGTGTGATTATGTATCTATCAAATCTGCCTAATTAAATTATATATATTCTCACCTGTTCCAAAACTGTCAGAACAGAACTGGCACATACAATATTCTTTATCTATCGACACATGGAGAGTATTTTATCCGCTCAACCCATAGACAGTAAAAGAAAAGGCTCAACATATTTTTTTACAGTCTAAGCGCGAATATTATGACATGGATGCGCATGCGCCAAAAATCAAAGGCAGACGCATGCGCAGGGTGGTTGTCGACTGCGCCATTTTGCTTCGAGTGAGAAACGCTGTATATCGTGTTCTGTCTACAATCCGGTGAGTGCTCGCGGGGTAGAAAGAGACTCATTGGTCTATTTCCACGATTTTATTCACAAAACGAAAACATGTCAGACTCTTCGACAGCAGATGTGGTGTCTGTAGAGGCGGGGGTTCGTAAGTTATCGGAGCTGAGAGTGATCGATTTGAAGGCCGAGCTGAAGCGCCGAAATCTCGACATTAGCGGCAACAAGAGCCTGCTTTCAGAGAGACTCAAAAAGGCAAGTAGACCCCGAGAAATATCTATATCTCACAATTTTTCAACTCTACAACGTTACTGCATATGAATGAACATGCTTTGCATGGACTGAGTTAACGTTGTTGGGGTGTATGGTTATAGAAGTAACTGTTACATGTGCTGTTTAAATTCGTACTCTTTATTGTTATGAATGATGTTTTGGATTGTTAATGTTATTTTGTAATGCGCGCCCTATACGTTTATATATGTAATACTTTTTATGCCTGTTTTTAGGCATCAAACTGACCTTGCAAGATGTTTTGAACTCATGTAATACGTTATGTAATATGCAGCGAATACAATAGGTTCTCAGTGTTGAATGAAAATAATGAGTTGTTTGTGTGACGCTGTAAACAATATGTAACGTTAATGGATGGTAATCATTCTTGTATTTGACTGTCATACTTTCGTTTTAGGCTATTGAAGAAGAGGGCGGAAATCCAGATGAGATTGTTGTACACCTTGAAATAACGCCTAAGAAAACACCTAGGCGAACTTCAAAAGGTAAAAGCGAGATGTCTTCACGTTGATGTAATGATATACTGTGTTTTAAGGGTTTTCACTTAAATATTAGGGGTTTAACAACTACACTTGTGTCATGATCCAGTTCTATACACAATACTGATTTCATGGTAGTTAAAGGAGTAGTTCGCTTTTAAAAAAACTTTTGCTGATAATTTACTCACCCCCATGTCATCCAAGATGTCCATGTCATTCTTTCTTCAGAAGAAAAGAAATTAAGGATTTTGATAAACATTTCAGATTTTTCTACATATAATGGAACCAAACGGTTCAAGGTCCAAACGACAGTTTTAGTGCTAACTGCAAACTGTTCAAGGGGCTTTAAACGATTCCAGACGATGATTAAGGGTCTTATCAAGCAAAACGATCAGTCGTTTAAAAAAAAAAAAAGCTCTGTTCTGTGATGCGTGTTTGTGATTCTCCTATTCGAATTCATTGATCAAAACGAACGAATCTTTTCACGAGTCAACACGTTCATTTTGTTCGTTGAATGAACCAAATGACACTAAAAAAGATTTGTTCATTTTGATAAACGAGTTAGTTCATCCAAAATTATAATTTTATGTAGCCAATTTGACAGACCTGTGCTGCACGTTGCGCTTAACTGTATTTTCCTTTTTTTTTTTTTTTTTTTGAGGTGATTCCTCATCATATTTCAAGCAATTTAAAACCACCATGGTGAACGGTGCGCATATGAAGTGTCTCAGTTGATTATAATGATCTATTATCTATCTGTTTTAATATATCGGCCACATTTTCTTATCGGGCCGATAACAAAAAAATTATCATATATTAGCCAATTCCGATTCTGATATGGTGGTCAATATATCTGTCAGTTTTGATTTCATATGGATTTTAAGTTGGTTTAAAGTGGTATTTGTTTCTGTCTATAGGAAAGGGCAAAGATGAACCTGATGAGGCTGAAGATGGCACCCTTGAGGAGGACTCTGTTGATGGCCAGGTGTGCTGTGATATGTAGTTGTTGATGGACATAATTCTGAACTGGATTGAGTTATTTTGCATAGCTTTATCAGAACTAACAATTTCTTTACCTTCTTTAGGAGGACCCAGATGCTATCCCAGATAACCTTCATGAGATGGATATCATGGACATGAATGTTCTGGATGAAGCCGATATGGGCAACGAAGGTGGGCCTGATGGAGACGAATATGACGAAGAGGTCCTAGATACTTTATCAAATGAAGATAATGCAGGCAGCCCGAGGGAGGATGCCGCAAATAACCACGATGCGGAGGATGCTGATGATGTAGTTCTGAGTAAATCTGATGTGGAGGAGGTGAGGTTTTAATATTAGCTAATGATAACACAGCTTTGGTATTATCAGCATTAATTTATTTTTCATTAATATTTTGGACTAGCTTTTGTTTTAGTTCTATTGTTAATTTGTTGAATTTTTTAGTAATTTCATTGTGCTTTTGTCTATTTATATTGCTATTTAGGTTTAATTTATTTTTTAGTTTGTTTTAGTTTTAAGTTTTGTCATTTGTTTATGTCCTTTTAATTATGTTAGAACTTCAACTTATTTCAGTTTATTGCCAAGGCAGCATTTCTAATTTCCATTTAGTTTCTAATCCAACTAATATTTATATTTTATTTTATTTCAGACTGCTTTCAATTAACAAAAGTGTTTTTTTTTATGTATAGTTTTAGTTAACAGTAATAACCCTAGTTCTTATTGCACGTTGAGTGATACTTTCTTTGGCTTTCAGGAAATAAAGGCTAATGACACAGACATGGATGAAAACCAGGAAGTGCCGTGTCAGGTATTCAAGGAAGTTGAATTTTGGGGGGAGGGGGTTACTCGAAGATGAATCGACGATTGATTAATTGTCATTTGATTAATTGTCGTTAATGGTTTCTTTGATAAATCGTATCGATGGTTGATTAAGCAAGGTCATCATTAGAGTGCATAGTTTTGAGGTGTGCATGGTTTGACACGTGCAAAGACACAAGGGAAAATTATTTGTGAAAATTTTTAAGGGTGGGTTGCAACAATTTTAATTGGATTAATCTTAAATCTAGATAAAATCCAGGTTTATCTAATAATTCTGATGCACCAAAATTAAAACCTTGTTTTAAAAAAAAATGTTTTAAATTTAAACCATCATTTAAGATAGATTTAACTTTAATCCTGTTGCTCCAGAACTCTCAATTAGGGATCAACTTCAAATTTACATGTGAGGAGGTTTAGATAAAATGAAGTGCACCTACAATTAAAATATGTGGCTGATTGAACAAAGACAGAAAGAGTGGTTGTGTCTCAAGTCTCTTGTTACAAATAAAAATGAAAAATGAAGCGCTTTGATACAGCAGAGTGTGAAGGTTATTTCGCCTTCTATCGAGTCCGGGATGTGGATCCGCCGCTCGCAGTTTGACAAAGAAGAGAGGAATATATTTAGCATTTATAACCTCAAACAGACAAGAGTTATTAATAAACAATAAGATCCTGGTGGATGGTTGAGTGATCTTCCAGTGCTGTTTCAGATGTGCGCTTCTATTATATATCGCATGGTATTTAAAGACCTTTCAATCTGAGCGATCGAACTCGCTACAGCTGTCTGATTGGTCTCGACACATTGTGCCTACACACGATACCCACCAACTAGTTTCTATTGGTTGAACTTTCAAATGACGTAGGACAACACTGCATTATAATCGCGATGTGATCAGATTCTGGAAGTCCTATAGTTTTAGCCAAGCAGCATGTCATGACACTCCGTGATCCATCGTTGTGTTTAGGTTCGTTTGAGACTATCTGTTCTTAAAAAAAAAAAAAAAAAAAAAATTGTAATGGCTAGTACAAACGCTATGTACTGTTTACATGTGCGTCAGCAGCTCTTTTTCATACAAATACATGGTATAGTACCATACTTGGCTATATATAGTAGTCATATGGTTGAAAAGGTCTTAACTAGCAATGATTTTACAGATCACATTTTCTTGTAAAGCAGTTATTTTTTTTCATGGTATGAAAATAGAGTACTTCAATTTAGGGATGCACTGAAATAAATTCGGTTTTGACTTCTTTGCTTGCTGTTTTGCATTTATTCTCGTGCACAGACTCTTTCACTAAGCTTAACAGCCAATCAGAGTTCTCCCTTTTCCCGACGCCGACTCAACATGTCGAATCGGGCGAAACAAAGCCGACTAGGACGCACAAGTCAAAATTGTATGCAAAATTGCACGGTGTGCCCGCGTTTATGGATGCTATGATTACGTAATCGCTCAAAGCCGCGACTACAATAGAAAATCGACTCTGCGTGTATGTGTTTAGAGCATGTTATGTTATAAGAGGCGAATCACGACTACTTCAGAGAACCCAGCACAATACTGTCCTGTCAGCTGTTATACTGTGCTCATTGCTCACACTCTTCAATCGCACATGCAAATGCGGCTTCAGCGCACTGTGTATCGCTTCACTGTATACAAAGTGCAAAATAAACTACAAGCATGCAAAGTCGTTAGGTTGTAAATCAGTAAGTCACAAAATAAAAGTGAAAAAACAACTGGTTACTGGTACGTTGTGTGTTAACCGAGAAGGATTTGGATGCAGGTATGATTTTCATTCTATTCACCAGAAGCAGTTTCCATATTTCATTAACTGTTATTTTTAAATTTTTTTATATGACTGTTGTAATAACAAAAACTACCCGTAACTAAACATATTATTAATACAAACAGTTTGGGACTGCTATTTAATAGCTTTAGCATAGGCTTGATGTTTATGTATCAGTAGTCTTTACTAAGTCATATTCTTGCAATTTATGTGTATTGTAAGTAAAGGGAGACAGCGTGTGTGTGTTAATCTTTCATGGATTATGTATTATAATATGCCTATATTATGTGTTAGTATATTGTAATCATAATGAATAATTGCAATTACAATTTCAAGGGAATAATCTGCAATTATTAATTTTTTGTCAATCATTCAGCACCAAGTGGCTTACAAACATTCAAAAACACATTTCAGCGCCAGATCACCTCTTATTTCAACACGAACAAACAAATTGTTAATCAAATGGAGTATCAACTTCGTACTAGATACATCTGTGCTGCGAGATGTTTCAAAAAGTGGTGGGGACAATATTGAGCCTGGCAAAAAGTCAATACCTGCAAATTACTCCCATGGCTGGGTTTCTTTTGTCCGTCTTCACTCATTTTCTCTCTTTAGCAGGAGGATGATGCAGAGCCTGGATGCGAGGACACCAAAAGCAAAAAAGGTACTGTATGGGCTTCTGGAATTGCTCTTAATGTCTGGGTGAAGCCTTAAAGTCCTTTAGTGTAAATGTATCAGGTTATTCAGGAAAAAGAGACTGGAAATCCAAAGATGATTACTGGCTTTCTGCATTGCTGGCATTGGGCATTAATCCATTAATATTAATTTAGAATGACATTATAGTCACTCAAATGCTCTTTTGTAAGGCAGAGAGTCAGTAATCTGTTTCAGTTAGTACATTGGTTGGTTTAAATGGTTGTTGCAGATGCAATTTAGTGTTTCTAGGTTGCTAAAAGAAGACAACGAAGAGAAGAGAAAGAAGAAGTGGATCACGCTGAAGCAAAATCACTGTAGGACTCAGTTTGTTAATTGGAGATTTCACTAATGGACCATTTGCTTGTTTGAAACGAAACAAATTTCCTGTAAAGACAGCACAAGCTGCTTCTTCCTTATCACGGACACTTCAACTACTAAAGTCGACGATGGACACTCGGTTGCTTGTGGCTTTCCCTAGTCAACAGTGCACCCTCAGCTTCAGGGTGCAGGTGATCTGAAAAGAAACGGCCTGTTGTCTGGAAGCTTGTTGCTTGTTCTTGCTTTGGTTTTTCCAGTCTCTTCATAGGGTAGCTTGCCTTTGCTTGTGTATGAGAAAGCAGAGGGCCACGTCCCATTCCAGTTCCACGATAACATTGCAATGTCTCAGAAGTGATTAAACTCTGTGCCATTCTATTCCTGTTAAATCCGTAGAAAGTGAGAAAGTAGCCGGGTCTTGTATATCAGAGCCACTTAAGGAAGACTTCGCTGAAGAGCCGACTGAAGACGAGAAATCTTCAGTCTGGGATTCTCACAAAGAGGAAGACAATGTGCACGACCTTGCTAGCGCAGAGGAGGCCGCCAATTTGGAAGCGGGATCGCCAGCCTGCGAAATGGAGGTTGACGCATCAAAGCAAAGTGAAGTCGATTCAGCAAGCAAGGACCAAGAAAACGTTCAGGACAATTTGGTGGACTCTGAGAGCACTTCCACTCAGGCCGCTAATGCTAGCGAAACATGTCTGCGCGATATCGAAAACGCAGTTGATTCGGAAATGGCGTCTAAAGGAGAAGCGGACGAGGAATGCAAGAAGACTGAACCTGCTGAGTCTTCAGAAGTCAAAGAGTCCTCTGTAGAGGGTGGTGATGATCAGAAAAAGAGGTTTGTTGTTTTCTGTCTACTAGAACAATGGCTTTCTCTGTTTCATTGGCTCCTTTGTTAACAAGTATGGGTTCTCTTGGGAGGTGTAAGCGACTGCGCATTTCGTCTTTTTTTTTTCTACCTTCAAAAAGTAATGTACCAGAAATTTGGTTCGCCATATTAGTGCAAGGTATGTTTAACGTAATTGGGCTTCACGTGACTATTCAAGTTGTAATATCCAAATCTTTGTTCATTGACTGGTTGTGTTTTCACTAGGTGGGTATTTGTTAATCAACACTGGTGATCCCGTTCATTTTGCCCATTCAATTTCTCACAATACGATTTTCTTTTTCTCTAGCGGTGAGGAGGATACATCAACCAAGCCTGAGTCGAAAGATGATAAAGGTGGGTGTGCTATGAAGTACTACTTTTGACCAAGAAATAGTTTCTGGACATTGTAAATTGATCTTGCGCCTCATCAGGTAGCGCTGCTGCTAGCGGAAAGAACCTCTGGGTCAGTGGACTCTCTTCAACCACAAGAGCGACAGATCTGAAGAATCTGTTCAGCAAATATGGCAAGGTCTGCATCTTATAGAAAACTACACATTGGAAATGTTCTTCTTGGGTTTGGGGGTGTCTTGATCCATGTTTGCTACTACTTGCAGGTTGTTGGCGCGAAAGTAGTAACGAACGCCCGAAGCCCAGGGGCTCGCTGCTATGGGTTTGTTACGATGTGCTCTACTGAGGAGGCCACAACGTGCATCAGCCATCTGCACAGAACCGAACTGCATGGCCGGATGATTTCAGTTGAAAGGGTATGTGATTTTGTTTATTATTTAAGTGCTAACATACTAGAGTTCGCCAGAGATAACTGCGAGTGTCCATTGGTGCAACTCATTCACCGATGATAATTTATGCTTTTGGACATCTGACTTGTTGTATTCTAGAGCCCGACCGATAAAGGATTTTGAAGGCCGATGCCGATATTTGTTGGTTTTAAAATCCGCTATATCGGCCGATAATTTATTTTTTTTATTTTTTCAGAAATGAGCAACAAAACATTAACAGATTTCACTAACATTAGTTCTTTATGAGTTCTAACTAAAATAATATTATAATGCATTTTATTTTATTGTCGCAACTGAACAGAGGAACATCAAAATATATTAAAGTTCTGATAAATAAAATAATAAATAGTCCCTACGTTGCCTTATAAGCTACCTGCAATCTGGATCAGCAGGATGTGTGGCGCGTTATACACAAGTGTTGCCAACAGGGATGGTGTAGAGTGCCCTCTGGTGGACAAACTATACAACTCCACACTATAACTGCCGATACGGATAGTTTGGAAAATGCTTAATATCGGCCTGTCGATAAATTGGTCTGGCTCTATTGTATTCCCATTTTATTTTCACTCCCTTGCGTGGATTTTCTTCCAAAAGTTTTGTCTTGTGTTCTAGCGCCCTTATTTCTAAACTCTTTTGCATCAGAATTGGGTAGCTGGCAAAAATATTGATGTGAGGTGTGTAGTCAAAGCTAATTAATTTATCTGTATCTGTGTTTAGGCCAAGAACGAGCCTGCTGGGAAGAAGCCTGCTGAAAAAAGCGATGCCAAAAAGCCTGGCAGTGACAGAAGACTCTCCTCGGACTCGAAGACTGAGAAGTAAGTTGTGAGTCAATGGCATTTATTTACAGACATCTCTACATGCCAAATAACTAACTGTCTCATCATCCCTACAGATCTGAGAACAAGGATGAGAAGTCTGAAAACTCTGATGGAAAAGGTAACAAGATTAGCTTGCGTTCACGTTTATCACTACCTTCAGTAAAATGCTACGGTATCCAAATCTTAATGGTTCAATCTTGCTGTTACAGAACAAGGAGGAGAGAGAACTGTTGTGATGGACAAGTCAAAAGGAGAGCCAGTCATCAGCGTGAAGACAAAAAGCAAAGAACGAGTATGTTTTGTGGTTCTAACCGTTTTGATTCAGACTACTTTGTGTGGTTTAGAAAATTTGAATATGACACGCCAATCTTTGTTTCAGAGCACTAAGAGTCGTGACCGCAAATCCTCTAGCAAGGATAGGAAGGACATTTTGTCATTTGACCAAATCAAGGAGCAGAGAGAGAGAGAGCGTCAGAGGCAGAGGGAACGAGAGATTAGAGAAGTGGAGAGACGCAGGCACTCTGGGTAAATTTTATGCATCTACCCTTTGGCCTTCATTTAGTCTTAATCTAAAAATCAATCTAGCAATTTTCTAACTGGGGTTTATTTACCATGCAGCTCGCGAGACCGCGACAGCCGTTCGGAACGCGAGCGCATCCGCCTCTTTCGGGAGCGGGAGGAGAGGGAGAGACTGTTGAGGAAGCGCAACTTTCTGGAGGTGGAGAAACAGCGTCTGGATGCCGACCGCAGGGAGCGCGAGTTCCTTGAGCGCGAACGTCTCCGAATTGAGTATGAGCGGCGACGCGAGCAGGAACGCATTCATCGGGAGAGGGAGGAGCTGAGACGGCAACAGGATCAGCTACGCTTTGAACAGGACCGACGTCCCATCAAGAGGCCTTTTGACATGGATGGCAGGTATGCATAAAGTAGGGTTGCCGAACAGTTTTGCCAAACCAGTATAAGACAAGGTTTCCACACCCACTTGCAACTCTACTTGATTCCTTGGGTAAGTTCACGACGCAGGAGCACCTTGACTGTGATAGGGCTGCACCATATTGAAGAGATGTGATAACTCGTTAAAATTCGATAATGCTAAGTGTTTAAAATAAACTTTAAATTGAAAACTGCACATGATGTAACATGATTTAAGCATCCCTTCAACTTTTATTAAGTAAACGGCAGTGTTTTACTGTAGAATTACGTAAAAAGTGTAATTTTAACGTCAGTTTTAACCAGGTGGTGGAGGGTTTCAGGTAGGCCCACATTAGGTTTATTTAACAGAAATTGAATAATCAAATGTAAAAATAAAACACTCTATAGTTTTCACTGTATGAATTAAATTTACACTTTCTTATTAAAGCCACAAAAGTAATTCAGTCAATAGCAGCAGTTATTTTCTTTGTTATTGTTGGATTAACAGCAAGCACACACACAGAAGCAGGGTTATTAGTAGGGCTGGGTAAAAAAAATATAGATTTCTCGATATTAATCGATTCTCATTTTTACTAACCGACATCGATTCTTAAACCTCAAGAATCAATTAGTCATCCTGTTTTCATTTGATGAATGAATGGAACATTGTAGCGCGTAGCCTATCCAATAAATCACAATAATCGTTGTGCTTTGTTACTATTATTATAAAAATAAAGTCTCAATTTTCGAATTAGGTCCATTTTCTTACGAAATTCAAAAACATAAATAGTGTTTTGGCACTGTGGCGTGAGATCGCTCTGGCTCAGCTCAAGAGAAGCAGCAACGCGGAGCGCACATGATCTTCTCTTCCGCCTTAATATCAGTTACTCCGTCTTAATTAGTGTTGTCACGGTACCAAAATTTCAGTATTCGGTACCGATACCAGTTAAAATTCACGGTTCTCGGTACCAATTTTGGTACCAAAGCTTAGTTTAAATTTACATATATTTAAGTGTTTATCACGGTTACAAGTATGGAAACTGTACATTTGTATTATAAACACTTTAGAAAAAGATTAGATAAAATGACCTAAAATAAACAATAGTATACACTAACACATTTTTAAAGTTGTTTGTAAAGTTTTAATCTATTATTTATTTAATGCACAATGAATTAAGTGAACAAACATGAACAATCAGGTGTTTGTAGTAAATAACATTTTCAAACATTAATTAATGTTGTAAAAATATATTGTTCACTCAATGTGTTGATAACTAATGTTTATGAATGGTATCTTTGTAGCATTACCATAAAACATGTTTTATTTGACTTGACTGTCCTTTTATTAATCTAAAACTGCATTCATATTTAATTTTAAAAAGGCTTTTTAAACCTGCTGAGTTATAAAGGCAAGAATACGCCTAGAACTGGCATTGACATTAAATGACAATACTAATACCATAGTACTCTGGTGTCGGGTAGATACTACTGTGCTCATGTACTCGTAAAACTACCCCGAAAGCACTTTAGAGGCCGTTCACATGTCGCGCGTGTTTTTTAATTATATTTTTGCGCGTGCTTATTCTTTCCAAAGCGCTTGCTCTCACGCGGCGTCTGTCGTTGCTATGCAACGCCAACGAGTTTTTATTAGGAGCGCGCTTGAATCACGCCTATATTTGAAATTGCGAATTTGCATGTAATCGGCCTCTTATGGCAACGTGACATTAGCCTAATCCAAAATATTTCCATATGTGGCTCTTTCCTCCTTTCGTTTCAACAAGTGGATTCAGAGAGAGAGAGCCATATCAGCGTTATGAAGAGGACGCAACTGTGCACGTTTCAGACATCGCGTCTAGAACAGAACTGGATTAACCTGGTACTCGGTACCTAGAAAAGCTGGTACCGTAACTTTTTTTTTTTTAGTACCGACTTGGTACCGAAGTACCGAGTTTTTTGACAACACTAGTCTTAATAATACCAGTTACAGCGATAAATAAACATGAATGACCATCTGAAAGCGTGTTAAAAGATAGAGTACAACTTATCAAAATCCGTATCGTCACATGGAATCAGTGTTTCATCCGTGGAAAGACGTCAGTTAAACAGCTCGTAAACAATGTCATGTAACGTCACATTTACTTTAGAAAAACCATGTGACCATAAACTTAGTTAGTTATGGCTCGTTTCCACTGAGTGGTACGGTACGGTACAGTTCGGTACGCAATTATTTGCGTTTCCACTGTCAAAAGTTGTGAATGGTACCAAAAAGCCGAACCGTACCGTACCACTTTTTGGGTACCCTTTTGTTAGGGTACCTAGCACAGTGAAAGGGTACTAAAAGGTGGAGCTAGACTCACTGCAGAACGATGATTGGTGGACAGAGTATCGTCACTCGCGCGTGCTACAAGGGCATTAGAAGCATACAGTTGAAATATAATTCTACTGTATTGTGTCACGAAATGTAGTTTTAAGACTTTTTCAGGCGAGAAAGTAGTTTTTTAGAGATCAAATCTGTGGTTTATTTATAGATTTTTGATAATTTGACTGAGATCCATTCCAAGCGATCACCGGACGCTCGCGCTCGTGTCCCCCGCCTGGAACAACCTTTCCTCGGCTAGTCGTTCTGATGTTTGCCGCTGACTCGGACGTCTCTGTAGTGGTTAAACATGAGATATAGTTCGTCTTGTATAAACCTAACAGGTGATCTTTGGTCTCGTGAATCTATAATTCGTTTCCTGGCCAATAGTTTTGGCAGAAGGCTACGTGAAGTTTATATCTTTGAGCGCTGAATTTGTATCTGACTGACTGAATTCATTGTTTCTTGATATTATTTAAACTTTACTGTATTTTGTACCTTTTACTTATACTTTTATAATGGCTATTATTGATTAAACTGAAATTCAACAAAAAGATATAGTTTTGTCATTTTTTTAAAATTTTATTATCATCTGTAATGTTGTTTATTGCAACATTTGTACCAATGCGATATGCAATACATTACATTACATATTGCCTGGAATATGTTTAATATTTTAAAATTTAAACGAAAAGAGGCAGGGTTGTTTTATATTTAGTTTTGTTAGCCTATATATAACGTTACATGCAGTGATGAGCAATAGGCTATGTGTTGCCTGAACCACATTTATGTGCTTTAGAATGTTTAAAATGTATTGAAATGAAATCGAAAAGAAGCAGAGTGGTGTTTTAAAACATATTTCGTTTTATTGTTGCCTAAAATGAACATACAGAGATAACCGGAGTCGCATAGCCAGAGCGAGCTGAGTGCCGCGTTCAAAAACGCGCTGTTCCATTAACAGAATTACTGGACTCGCGTCCTCGGCATCATTCTCCTGAGTCGGACTTTGAGTTGGCTTCTTGGAAACGCCTAATGCCAGCGCTTGTTTCTAGTGACAAACATGCCGAGAAGCAAGAACAAGATCTGCTGTCTGTCATCCATTGTTGTTTACTATGTCGCTTTCTTCGCGTGAAAATGACGTCGATCGCTTCTTTCCAGCATACCACGCCTATCAAGTAAGGGTACTGTTGGCGGTGGAAACGCAAGCCTGATCATGGTGTACCCGACCCGTACTGTACTGTACCGTACCGTACCGTACCCCTCAGTGGAAACGAGCCATTAGTCAGCTAGAAAAAGTAACTCTAGAGAGTATCATCAGTGGAAGACCGCTAACGTTAACAGCTTGGAAACCACAATGAACTTTTTCTGCCTAAATAAAGTAATGATTACTGTATTTATAACTAGCATATCTCTAGTTACAGTCCCTGCATTGTAAAATGTAAGTTAGACTTGCGAGGAGTGAACATTTAGACATAGAGAAAAAAGTATCAAACATATATTGTGCAGAAAAGTTAGCTTTTGTTTTACACGTGTGAAATCCAACAATATTTAATAAAAAAAAAAATATCGGCCGATATATCGGATTTTAAAAACCAAAAATATTTGTATCGGTATCGGCCTTCAAAATCCTTTATCGGTCGGGCTCTAATTTTGATATATCGTGCAGCCCTAGATTATGGGATGCAGCGTCTCCGGATTACAATATTTTTTTTGCCATTTCCAAATGTACAGAAAAGATGACTGGCAGATGAAGAGAATGACAATGGATGATCGCTATGGACGGTCGGACTTTGGACGCCAAGACCGCTACCAAGACTTTGACCACCGAGACCGCAGCCGCTATCAGGATGATGTGCTAGACAGGTAATGATCTAACAGCAGCCAACCGTCTAGCTATTTGTCTATAAATTTTGCTACTGTATCGTAATGATTTACATCCCCCTTACAAACAGGAGAGACAACCGAGGTGGTATGTCAGGAGACAACCAGGTAAGAAAAGCCCTTCACAGACCTTCATTAGACTTTATCCTCGGGTATTAAAAAACATCTCATCCTCCTTTCTCAATTTACAGCACTTTTCAGATCGGGAAAGACATGGCAGGGACAGTCGTGACAATTGGGGTGGCGGATACGACAAGCGTGGGATGAATCCCATGAGGCCGGTGCCAGGCAGGTAGGTCATTTTGTCTCATCCAGTCAGACATGCCGCTTCATTAAATGGTCGCAAATTCTCTTCACTCAGTTGTTTTGCTCTGCTTCTTGTTCGAAGTCGTGACAACAGGGACTGGGAGCCTGGCCGTAAAATGGACACGGACAGAAACTGGCAAGGTATGTCTACTATTGTTTTGTTTTCGATTATGTTCAAAAGAAGTCGCATGTTATCTCTTCTAACTTACTACGTTTCTTTTTAGGAGCAGACCGAGGTGTTCCGGGACAGGGTCACATGGCACGAGGTGGAATGGCAAGGTATTAGTTTGTCATGGCTAGACATAAATGTGTAAATAGAGTATCATGAGACTTTTTTTCCATCTTTTGTTGCACATGAAACTAATATTTGTCTACTCTACTCCATAGCCGAGGTGGATACATACAGACAGGGACAGCCCAGTCACTCTCTGGAGCTTTAAATCGACCGAATCAAATGATTCAGGGTAGCGGTATACAAGGTGGCGGAGCCTTTGGTCGACGCTATTAACTTAAATATCTGTTATGTGAAAAGAAACTTTGCAGCTTGTACATTTGCCAATCATGCTTTGTTGTTGTATTTTTAAGTCCACTTTTATTTTGATGGTGTAAAGACAAACAGATAATTGGTTAGATTTTTTTTTAATTATTATTATTTTTGTCCTCCCCTCCATTCCACGTTTAGATTTTAGGCTTTTCTGTTTTTCACTTGTTGAATGCTCAGGAACGTTTTGCTAAAATGGAACCTGTCTTTAAAACCATGAAATTGTTGTTCAATTGTTTTTGATGTTACAATAAAAGTGTGGAGTTTTCTTTACACAAAGGTGGTACTCTCGTCTTCCTATGTACACGCTAGTATTCTGTTGCCACTAGGTGGCGCTCTTAGGCTAAGCAAAATTGGAGGATTTGAAGAATGCTTGTGAGAATCCAAGTAAGATTTTTACATTTTGCAAAGAAACTGTTAGTGTTTCATGTCATCCAATCTGAACAGATTTATTTAGTATTATGAGTTGTTATAACGTTAAAGTGATGGTTCCCTTAGCAACTGATAATGTGGCATCTCTATAGTCTAGGTTACAGATTGAGATGTTATATTGGCATATTGCAACTCTAAATTAAGAAAACGGATGGCATTACTGTCATAACCACCAGCCTATTACTCAATACATCTTGATTATTTATTGCTTGACGTAGGAGGACTGTGGCTTTTAATCTAATAAACCAAAAATAAATGCACTTGTTGCATGCTTTCAAATGTCAGGAGAGCAAACAGTCACATTGTGCAAGTCTATTCACTGGAGTATTAGATCACTTGTATATCTAATAATAACCCTCAATTTCCATTGTCTCACTTATAGTAGTTCACTTTTAAATGCTGATAATTTACTCACCCCCATGTCATCCAAGATGTCCATGTCATTCTCCAGTTGAAAAGATATTAAGGTTTTTGATGAAAACATTCCAGGATTTTCTCCATATAATGGCCTTCATTGGGAACCAAACGGTTCAAGGTCCAAACGAGAGTTTCAGTGCAGCTTTAAACGACACCAGGCGATGAAAAAGGGTCTTATCTAGGACCCTTCGAGTAAAAAGCTCATCTCAGAACAGAGCTAGGCGATCGTTTCGCTAGATAAGACCCTTTTTCATCGCCTGGTGTCGTTTAAAGCTGCACTGAAACTATCGTTTGGACCTTGAACCGTTTGGTTCCCATTGAAGTCCATTATATGGAGAAAAATCCTAGAATGTTTTCATCAAAAACCTTAATTTCTTTTCGATTGAAGAGTGAAAGACATGGACATCTTGGATGACATGGGGGTGAGTAAATTTTCAGCAAAAGTTTTTTTCAAAGTGAACTACTCCTTTAAACTTATGGCAAAGGGAAAACCAGTTCCTTGATATTTTAAATTTATGTTGAAGTTCCTTATAGTTGTTCTCAGAATTTTTTTAGTTAGGGGGCGACATTGTCCCAAATTTGAGACTCAGAATTCACTCCTGAATCTGTTTTCAGTTAAATCATTATGATGACAAACTGACTCCACATGGGATCTTGTGCTTTGCTAGCTTGAAATTAGCCATGCTGATGTGGGCTTTTGTTCAATACTTTGAAACAAACCACTGCAGTGCAACTTTTTGTTTGGGGGTGGGCATTTATAATTGTTATTGTCAATTGTAAACGTCATCAACTACATATGATTAACTCTTGTAGTAGAGTAATTAGCTGTCAATAATAAAGAACTCAGGAGACCATTTGGTAACAGACGACATCCTGGGAGGTGAAGTTGGTGTGTGGTGTATCAGTTCCACACTGTCCTAAAGTAACCTATGCCTGGGGAGGCATCTTGAATGATGTCACAAACTTAGATCAGGTCGTGCATTGGTGGCCAATCACATCCAGGCTGGAGGTTTTGTAGGTGGAGTCAGACAGATTTTCATTCCTAGAAATGCCTGGGGGTCATAAAACTCTCATTAAATATCATACTGCTGAAATGTGCCAAGGAATTCTTGATAAATGTATGTTGTCTCCAAGACCAATATCCTAGGACTGCTGGTTGTTGTACTCATTCCTAATGATATAGTCTATTGCTTCAGGTCTGAGCAATGTTTTGCTGTTTGAACTGGCACATGTTCTCCTCTGCAAATATGTCGACATGGACCAAGTCACTTGGAACAAAACCTGAGCATAGCTGGAATTTCAATACTGTACCACAACACCCATGAGAATTTCTGTTCTCCCCCGCTGTCAACTATACTATGAGATTTCTGGAAATTTCCCAAAAGAAAAAGCATTTTTAAAGCCTTGGGAGAACATGGATGTGGGGGACCCAACATGTCGTTGTTTCCCTACGCAAACCTCATTTAAAATTCCTGTTATACTTTACAAACTGAATTTAAATTGCGGTCCTCCTTCAAAACTGATCAACAAGTCTGTATATGCCTAGTTAGTGTAGTTCAGGCATGTGTAGCCAGAAACATTCCTCTCGGAATAGGTTTCAAGCACCTAGTGAGCTAAGAAGACATGGTAGCCAAACTTTTGGGTGCTTTCAAGATTTATCTGCTGATTTATATTTTATCTAGAGGACATTTTACAGGTAAGAAATCCCTCTATGCTTTGTCTTACAGGTGGTGGGCTTATCTGAGGTCAATAGAACATTTGTCTGTAGATTACTGAAGGTTTTTTGGCCTCCTTCATTGTAGTTTGCCTCAACTTGCCTGCATCAAAATAAGATTTGGATATAAGAACGCTTTTAGTCATGGTTAGAGGTCTTAAGGTAGGATATGTAACACCATTGTTGTTCATACTTAGGTTTAGTTATTTGGACAAACCCCAAAAGTATTACACTTTGGCAAGTAACTTGACCTGCAGAGTTTGTGCTACGGCTTGTGGTGGTGAGATATGCTATAGATTTCTTTTTTTTTTTTTTTTAAGCAAAACGATTTTCATTTGATAGACGATAAAATGGACAAAATAAAAGATTTGTGTCCAAAGATTATTATCAAGACAGGTAGGTAATTTTAACTTGAGCCACTCAAAACACTGTAGCATGTGAGCATTTAGCTGTGTGTGTGTGTGTGTGTGTGTGTGTGTGTGTGTGTGTGTGTGTGTGTGTATATATATATATTCCCTTGTATATAGTAAGCGAATAACAGTATATGAAAAAAAAAAATTACCGTAATGACCTCAGCGAGATTCTGAAGTGTGCATTCGATGGACACTTTACTGTCCCATGAGGCAACTGGAGAAGAGCTTGTGTTGTATTATTTCAGGATTTTTTGAAAAATTTTTCTTTTATAAGCCTATTAATTTTAGCTACTTATGAGTCTAGTTACTTATTTGTAATGTAGGCTATGTTAATACAGTATAATTATGTGCATTTATGTATATTTAATTTTTTTTTGTTTTGTTGTTTTTATTAAGTTTTTTTTTTGAGTTTGTAAATGGAAAATGTTCGATAAAAAAAATTAATTTGACATGCCGTCTCTAGAGCGCAAGAAATGCGCGAGAAAGTGAAAAAGCAGCGAGAGACGACGTCACGCCAGTCTAATCTTGGGCGTCGTGACGTCATTACTGGCGTGGCGGCGGTCGAACGAGGAGAAGGGACGTTTTACCCACATACCTGTCCCTGGTTTCCCTATTAAACGTATCCCGGTAAATTCCGCATCCTTTTATGGATTTAATTTTTTTTTATTTTCTTTCTCCCAACTCTGCTGCTCTTCGTTCGACTTGCTGGTATGTTTACAAACTATGTTTACAAATGCGAACCTGTCGACATGGCCGCCACGTCCCAGAATGCAACATGGCGCCCAAGCCCTATTGAGAAAATAACATTGTTGGAGCACAACAACTCTAATATTTTGTGATTGTCTCAATATAAAACAGCTACGTTGGGGTTTAGTTGTCTGTGGATTTGTGGTGATAAATAAATTGGACTCGAATTTAACACTATTTTTTCCAAATATATCAGAAGCTTCACAAGACATTAGCAACTACATAAAACACTGTGAAGGCCTGTCTTATGACCGAGAGCTCTTAAAACAGCAACACCAGCGCATCAGACGCGAGACACATTTGAACAACCAGGAGCTTCATCTAGACTTCAACGCCTTTCAAAGGTAGCTACAATGTCCACACATCTTCATTATCCCACCATACTTTATTATCCACTTAACCTTTTATTAAGCACTGATTTCTTGAAGGGCATTCCACCTGCGTCTCAAGCCAGATGCAAATGGCTTCACAGAAGATTTTAAGGTCCAGTCAGAAGATGAAACTCAGATGGTGGATCTCTCTCACATATATTCAGGAGTACTAGAAGGTAGGACGTCTTGTTTTGGCAGCCACACAGTTTATCTGTTAATACGCTATAAGTGATCAGTTGATTTAACTTAAAAAGGGTGTAAACCTGTTAAGTTAAAGTGATTAATAAACTTAATGCGTAATTGAAAAATATAAGTTATGTTAACTTGACAATCCACATAACTTCACATTTTTCAGTTACTCATGAAGTTTATTCGTAATTTTAAAGTAATGGGCGTCCTCACTTAAGTCAACTGATACAAATGTTTTCTCTCTCATAGATGACAGTGGATCCTCATGTCAAGGTTCTGTTGTTGAGGGTCGGTTTGAAGGCTCCATCACAACAGCCAATGGGACGTTCTACGTGGAGCCCACTGAGAGATACGACACCTCCGACTCTGACCACCATTCCATTATTTATCATGAGGATGATGTGGGTAAGTGATTATAAAATGTATTTCTTTTGTTTAAGCTGTGATTTAGTCCAAACAAAACGTTCTCATGTCCGTTGATCAGTATACTTTTTACAATAGACTAACCAGCCATAAAAGAAGATTAATATACTGGTTAAGTTAGAGCTGGTTGATATAATAAAAACTTTTCCAACTCGATCTCATGAGGTGGCAATTTCGTATGAATTTCTAGGATGCGATTTGTGTGGAAACCTGCAGTTTTTACGGGAAAAAATGAAGCATGATTGTCCACCCCTAAACCTTTTAAATACAATTTATTGCATCTTGATTTGTTTTTTTATTTATTTATTTATTTATTTTTATTTTAATGATAAACCTCACTACAATTTGGTTATTACTCTATATGTGTATATATACTATTGAACTTAAAGGTATAGTTCACTTTGAAATTAATTTTTGATATGTTTTAGCTTACCTCAAGGGCATCCAAGATGTAGGTGTCTTTGTTTCCACAGTATTTTCAATTTTGACATTTTGTAGGTCAAATCGTTCTCGTCTGTCAGTCATATAATGGAGGTCTATGGTCACCACCTCAAAGAGCATGCACAGAGAAGTCCAA